CCCTCCCCTCCCGCGCTAGCCTAAGGGCCACCTTAGCAAAGCGCATCCCAGGCTGCATAGCCGCACTACCCTACCCAACCATACCACACATAAACATGACACTACCCCCGGGGTTTACACAGACGAGCCGGCGAAGCAAGAAGAGCGCCAGAAGAAAGGGCCCTAGCCGGCGGGGCCCAGCCAGGACAAAAGGAGGTCCCACAAAGCGCCTACACCGGCCGCATTTGCGGTCGGGGTAGACGACGGATGGGGCCCACCTACGAAGGCTGTCCAGGCCTACACGAGATGAGGCAGGATAAAGAGGGATGATAATCCCCCTTGATCCCAAATCATTGAGGCCAATTTCTAGCCATGGAATAATGGCGCGCAAAGGGAAATCTGCTCACTGTTTGCGCATTGCTATAATTTTAATTAATCTAAATGATTATCTTTGAAACCGGCATTCTAAAGAATGGTTGCAAAACATGAGTCTTTGGGTTAGATATGTGCTTTGGGTCAAAATGACATTATTGGCAACCATATTTCTTTCCTACATGTCACAAATTGGAAAAATCTTTTGATCCCTAATATTTTTTGTTTAAGTTTGACATTTTGAGGACCGCTGTCCAATAATGCTGATGTTTTTTATGTTTTTTTTTTGTAATAACCTCCAAATAAAATATAGTTCTTTATTTCCATCACAACAATGTGTCACATTAAGAAAATGTTTGTAATAACATTCCAGGCGATGATTTCCTAACGTCGAGCCCCCAAAGCTATTCCAACCAAAACCTGTACGTTCAGCCTCCCACCAGGAACCCCAACCTGAACCAGAACGGCGGCTTCGAGGAGAAACTTGAACAAAACAGCGGCCCTAACTCTTTACCAGACGAAAAGAGTAACCTCGCGCCACGAGGTAGATCTCGAGGACCTTTATCGGAGGCCAATCTTAATCAGTTAGAGAATAGAAATAGTATTGCGGGTTACGGCAGGTCGAAGGGAAGGGAGGAACCTCCTAGGCCTCCACCACCAAGAGCTGAAGGTACTAAACTTGACTTAATATTGTAATAGTAGCCATTAAATTTTTTTTTACAGATTATTATAGTACTAGGAGGCAGATATACGAAGACGATCCTATTATTCAAAAAACGAAGCAGCCTATGTAAGTTATCTAAGTTTTCCTAACACATTTCCTTAAAAAAATATCTTTCAGACCCGACGCCAGATTCATAACATTCCACAAAGAAGGTTCGGTCGGTATTAGACTCACCGGTGGTAATTTCGCTGGAATTTTTGTAACTGCCGTACAACCCGGTAGTCCCGCTTCCCTTCAAGGTCTACAACCCGGTGATAAGATACTAAAGGTAATGGAATTATCTTTTCAATGACGGAAAAATGTTAATAATTTCTCTTTAAGGTTAACGACATGGATATGAACGGAGTGACCAGAGAAGAAGCCGTCTTGTTCCTGCTCAGCCTGCAGGATAGGATCGAACTGATCGTGCAGTTCTGCAAAGAGGAGTACGACAGCATCGTGGCCTCCCAGAAAGGTGACAGCTTCTACATAAAGACGCACTTCCATTACGAGAATCCCGCCAAGGGAGAAATGTCTTTCCGATCCGGTGATATTTTCCACGTGATCGACACGCTTTACAATGGGGTCGTGGGGTGCTGGCAAGTCTTCAGGATAGGTGAGTATTGAATTAAAAATTTTTCGTTAGTAAAAATTTTAACCACATTTGTCAGTGTTTAATATTGTAAATGTACAAATTTATTAACATTTGGTATTTGTAAATTTACAAAATTGATTTACATTTTACTATTCATTGTTAGAAACTGTATATTTCCACATACATATATAGAATTACACATGTAAATGTAAATTTACATGTGTATTTACTGTTGACAATTGTAAATTTATGTAAATGTACATTTTAACAAAAAAATACCAACATTTACGGAATTGAAGATTTACATTTTACAATTTACTTTTAAAAAATTTTAAATTTCCTCATACAAATATACTTATAACATGTAAATGTAAAATTTAACTGAAGCATATATTAGTGTAAATTTACACATCAATTTGTATATTTATTTATACTTAACAGTTGTAAATTTGCACAATTCTTTACTTACACTTTACAATACACATTTAAAAATTGTAAATCTCTTCCAAAAATATAAAGTTACATTTATCTACAGTTGGCAACTGTGAATTTCTATGTGCAAATCTAGAATTATCTATGTAACTGTAAATTTTAACTAAAATTACCAGTATGCATACAAAAATGTAAATTTTATCAAAAAATTTCTAACCAATATGCATTTATAAATGTAAATTTACACAGCCGAATATTTACATTTTACAATTAATTATTAAAAATTGTAGATTTTCAATGTAAATGGTGTATGCAAACATAAATTTACAAGTGCATTTATAACTGTAAATTTACATATGTAGTTATGAACTCACCAAATTAAACATAAATCATATACCTAACTTCTACTTTTGCTAGCATGTTTCTATTTCTGTTTGCGTATTATTCAGGTCGTAACAACCAGGAAGTCCAAAAGGGCATAATCCCGAACAAATCCCGGGCGGAAGAACTGGCCACCGCCCAGTTCAACGCAACCAAAAAGGAAATGTCAGCCAACGAATCTAGGGGCAGCTTCTTTAAAAGACGGAGGAGCTCTAATAGAAGATCTAAAAGTCTGGGCAAGGAACACTGGGACGATATACTGTTTTCCGATACCGTCTCCAAATTCCCAGCTTACGAGAGAGTATTGTTGAAACATCCTGGGTTCACCAGGCCCGTGATACTTTTCGGACCAATAGCAGATGTCGCGAGGGAGAAATTGTTGAAGGACTTTCCCGATAAGTTTATTTCACCACGTAAGTAGAATGTATTTATATACTTTCGAAAGTAAATCATTTTCTTTATGATTTTCTCACACATAGTCGAACCGGTAATATTTCTTTAGGTGCATATTTAATTTACCAGATCAAAATGTAAATTTACCTTTGTCTTGATCAATTAGCAGTTGGTAATTGTAAATTTACAATTTCTATTATTAATTTATGTGTGTCTTACATGTAATTAAATCAGCAATGTTTCTCTAGATGTACATTGTAAATTTACATTTTCTGCAGTTTAATTTTAATGTATCTTACATGCAATGCACGGTAAATTAAAAGATGAAAATGTAAATTTACATTTGCCAGCCGTCAATTAGTTTATTCACTCTTAGGATTGTAATTTAGATTTTGTCTTAATTTTTACGTACCTCACATGTAATTAAATCAATATTTCTCTAACTATTTGTTGTAAATTAGGAAATGGAAATTTACATTTTCTCTGTGTATCGTAACATATAATTAAATCAGCAATATTTCTCTAGGTGAATATGTAAATTTATAAATGTAATTATAAATTTACATTTTCTCTTAATTTTCACGAGTTTTAGATACATATATCATATTAGCCAAGTTTCTACTGCAAATTAAAATGTGATAGTATAAATTTACATTTACCTACTATCTTGGGTAATTGGCAGTTGGTAATTGTAAATTTACATTTTCTATGTTAATTTCTGAATATCTTATATCAAGTTAGTCATATTTTTCTAAATATACGTTTTAAATTAGCTATTGAGAATGTAAATTTACATTCAACATTGTAAATTAACAAGTGAAAATGTAAATTAATTGTAAATTTACATTTTCTCTTAATTTTCACGGTCTTACATACATATAATCATATTAGCCAAATTTCTACTGCAAACTAAAATGTGACATAAATTTACATTTGCCTATTGTCTTGGGTAATTGGCAGTTAGTAATTGTAAATTTACATTTTCTATGTTAATTTCGAAATATCTTATATCAAGTTAGCCATATTTTTCTAAATATACGTTTTAAATTAGCTAATGAGAATGTAAATTTACATTCATACATTGTAAAGTAACAAGCGAAAATGTAAATTAATTGTAAATTTACATTTTTTTTTGAATTTTCACGGTCTTACATACATATAATCATATTAGCCAAGTTTCTACTGCAAATTAAAATGTGACAAATTTACATTTGCCTACTGTCTTGGGTAATTGGCAGTTAGTAATTGTAAATTTACATTCTCTATGTTAATTTCTGAATATCTTATATCAAGTTAGCCAAATTAGTATAAATTTACATTTGCCTATTGTCTTGGGTAATTGGCAGTTAGTAATTGTAAATTTACATTCTCTATGTTAATTTCTAAATATCTTATATCAAGTTAGCCATATTTTTCTAAATATACATTTTAAATTAGCTAATGAGAATGTAAATTTACATTGCTAATTGTAAATTTACATTTTTTCTTAATTTTCACGTGTCTTACATGCACATAATCATATTAGCCAAGTTTCTACTGCAAATTAAAATGTGAAAGTATAAATTTACATTTGCCTACTGTCTTGGGTAATTGGCAGTTGGTAATTGTAAATTTACATTATCTATGTTAATTTCTGAATATCTTATATCAAGTTAGCCAAATTTTTCTAAATATACGTTTTAAATTAGCTATTGAGAATTTAAATAATTTACATTCATACATTGTAAATTAACAAGGGAAAATTTAAATATATATTAGTAATTGTAAATTTACATTTTCTCTTAATTTTCATGTGTCTTACATACATATAATATTAGTCAAGTTTCTACTGCAAATTAAAATGTGAAAATATAAATTAGCCATATTTTTCTAAATATGTTTTAAATTAGCTATTGAGAATGTAAATTTACATTTTATCTTAATTTTCATGTGCCTTACATACATATAATCAGATTAGCCAAGTTTCTACTGCAAATTAAAAGATACAAATGTAAATTTATATTTGCCTACCCTCTTGGGTAACTGGCAGTTGGTAATTATAAACTTACATTTTCTGTGTTAATTGTAATTTACATTTTCTCTTAATTTCTGTAAATCTTGCAATCAAATCAGCAATATTTCTCTAGGTACTACTGTAAATTAAGAGATAAGACTGTAAATATACATTTGTCAACTGTGTGAGGTAGTTGACAGTTGATAATTGTAAATTTACATTTTCCACCGTTAATTTCCATATGTTCTGTATAAATTTACAATTTCAGCATTCAGTCATTGATTAAACAAATTAAATATTTTTAGAGCTGGACGCAACAGTGGAAGAAACCAGCTCAAAGCATAAATCCTCGACAAACTCGAATATCATAAGACTGTCTGCCATAAGGGACGTCATATCGACGGGAAAGCACGCCTTGCTCGACATCACCCCCAATGCGGTGGAAAGGCTTAATTACGCGCAGATGTACCCCATAGTGGTGTTCTTCAAAGCCGAAACCAAGATGGTGGTCAAACAGTTGAGGCAAGGTCTACCAAAGTGAGTTTCGGATTTATATATTTTGAATGTTTTCCATTTTATTGGGCTGGCATTTCTTTTAGATCGGCACATAAGAGCTCCAAAAAGCTCCTGGAGCAATGTCAGAAGTTGGACAAGGTGTGGAGCCACGTTTTCAGCTCGACGATTACTTTGAACGATAACACAGATACCTGGTACAGAAAAGTTAGAGAGATTATAGATAAGCAACAGAGCAACGCCTTGTGGATGTCCGAGAGCAAGGTAAGTTTTTCTAAGGGTCTTTTCTTCTTTCTTGCACTTGGGAGGATAGTTGAATGCAATAGTGAAACGGTACTTGTCTTTCTGGTAATTTCCTTTTATCTGTGGGTCTTGGATTTCATTTCTTGGTGTATATTTTGAAAAATGAGGTGAATTTGTATTAGATATTTGGTTATATTTTTCATCGACGTATTAGAGTTTTCAATTATTTTATTCAAGATTCTATTATTATTTTGTCAATGAGGTTCAGATCCAGTCGATGAGCCGGTTTTTATAAAATATACAATATATAACTAGTAAATTACAGAATTTTTTGAATTATCCATATTTTAAGTTAGACATATTAAATAGAAAAAAAAATTACGCTACAATTTAAATTTATGATAATCAGTAATTATTCTGATACTAAAATTCACCCATATACACATGGTGTCTAGAAACTATGAGCAAAATATTTAGGGAGTGATTCTACTCGTAATCCTATTTCTTATGACATTTTTTAAAAAACTTAATGGAATTACATAACCTCAAAGTTATTTTTTTTTAGTTAGGTAACATTGCTATAACTTCTTCACGTAAGAGGGGTGTATAGTAAATAGGCAACCAGCAATACATTTTTATAGATTACACAGTTTGTCTAAATATGAATTAATGTTCAAATAATAGACTTTCCTCCATTCTAACGCAGATTTTCTATAAAATGGAATTAGTTTGAAACTAAAATTACTTTTTATTGTAAAGAAATTTGTAATTTGCCGCTTTTGAACAAGCAGTCATCGTAAATTACGAATTTCTTTACACCAAAAAGGAATTTGAGTTTCAAACTAAGATCATTTTATAGAAAATCTGCATTAGAATGGAGGAAAGTCTGTTATTTGTGCAATAATTCATATTTAGACAAACTGTGTAATAAAATCTATAAAAATGTATTGCTATAGAGCCCTCTTAAGTGTTTTTTTTTTCAAATTTGCTACTTACTGTTGGTAATAAATAGCAGCTACGAAAAATTATCAAAATTTAGAAAAAAGGGCTTTTATTGACTAGCAAATTAATTGTAACTTTTTTATTAGTACGATAAACACGAACAACTTGATATTGAGAAAATGCTACAAATAGGGTACAAATATGTTCTTAAGATGATAACATTACCTGTTTCCGAAAAAAAAAACATTTATTTTTGTAGATATCCACATACGTAAATATGTAAATTGTAAATCTACATATACATAAATTTACACTTAAAATATAAATTACATATTTATTTACACCTGACATTTATAAATTACAGAATTGTTTAATTACATTTTACAATGAAACTGAAAAATTGTAAATTTCCACATATAGATATAAAATTACATATGTAAACATTTTTTTGCAAAAACTAGTATGCATACATATAAGTAAATTTACAAGCTAAAGTAAAAATTTACATATTTTTTACAGTTGTAAATTGTAAATTTACATAACTGAGAATTTAGATTTTATAATTACAGTTGCAAATGTAAATTTGCAAGTAAAAATAAAAATTTACGTATTTTTTTACAGTTGTCAATTATAAATTTACAAGATCATTGTGAAGGTATTTATATTTTACAATTCACTGTTAAAAATTGTAAATTTCCAGATACAAATGTAAAATTACCTACATAAGTTTATTTTTTCTCAAAACACTTGCATGGGTACATAAATATTAATTTACAAGTGAAAATAGAAATGTACATATTTTTTTACATTTGTCAAATGTAAACTACAAGATCACTGTTACAAAAATGTAAATTTCCAAGTGCAAATGTAAAATTACCTATGTAAATGTATTTTTTTCTAAAAATACCGAAATGAGTATGTTTATTTATAAATGAAAATAAAAATTTACTCATTCATAGTTGTCTGTTGTAAATTTGCAAGATAATTGAGAATTTACATTTTGTAATTCAGTGACAACATTAATAATTTCCATGTGCAAATGTAAAATTATCTGCACGAATTTGTTTTCTCTTTTTTCAAAAATACCATGTGTCCACAAATGTAAATTTACAAGATAATTGAGGATTTATAGTTTTCAATTCACTGTCAAAATTTAAAAATTTCCCGGTATAATCCTCCAATGTCAGTTGAACGTGTATAAAAACGCCTAACAATAAAATTTAATGAGTTTCATAGGCGTCCCTAAAAAAATTTTCTGCTACAGTTAAAAAATTATAATAATTTGTCTATAATGTGTAGAAAATTTGTATTATATGTTCATTTGGTTATGACATATCAAAAACCATTTACATTTTCATTAAAATATATTACTGCTCGGCAAGAACCAACGGGAAGGTATGAACATATCCTTGCCAGGAAAGGATGAGGAAAGGTTGTTAGGTTAGAAAAGTTATTAAATAAAAATAATCAACAATGAAATAATTCCACATTGCTGCACTGCACTGCTAGGCAATTTGTCAACAACTGAAATTTATGGCCGGTCACCCAGTGCGGTTGTGTTTGTTCGACGTTTGCCCGCGCGTGCTTTCTTCAACTGGACGTCTACATTTCGACCACCTCCCCGTTTAGTTAGACCAGACCTGAATATAGGTATGGTTAAATAAATATGGGAACGAGTTTTTCAAATATTTCAATGCCGAGTTGCTGCGTAGCGATGGAATCTGGTACATACTGCTTAGCTCTTTGGTCTTCAATTGAGATTGGAAAGACTATAGAAGATGAAAGAAAATTGATGATTTTTTTTCTCGCAAATGTAGCTAATTACCAATAATAATTGTAGCAAACCTGAAAAATACCTCCACTCGACTGAAAAAAGAGTTGTCGTAAATTATCAATGTAACTCTGTTAATATAAAATTTAAAAAAAGTGTCGTAGTAACTTGCTCCATTGTTTTTATGAGTAAAATCACCAACATTTTTTTGTTCATGGTTTGCAACACCCTGTATAAAACAGTATTTAAATTTGCCTTACTTTTCGACAATGTATCAAGGTAGCTTTTCTCTTAAAATAGTTGTTAGAACTGAGATGTACTAGGGAACAGTAGTGGTATTAGCTGTAAGTCAACGGTAACGGTGGTGGTATCTCTTACAACAGTATTTCCTTGTTTTTCAGGGATATGACCTATATTCCGACATATACTTCCCCCAAATCTACCTCCAACCCAGATCCACCAGCTCCCTACCTTACAGGCAACGCCAGTCCAGAAGCCGCCACAGGAAAACCGCCCTCTCCATGTACAGTTCCCCACAATTCATCCACCGCACCACACCATACACATCTTGTTACGCCCCCTACGAATATTACCCCTACATGTCGCCCGTACCCAGTCAGAGTACCCTCTACCAAGAGAACTATCCAAATGCAAGTAGTTTGTGTGGCCGTGACGCCTTCGCTAGCGATACTAACAGAGATCTGCGCTTATCTAACACCGCTAGTTGTGATTTCACTTACAAGCTTAATAATTTTTTCGATGGCAATAATAACGATTTGAGCTCCGATTTGGCCAATATCCCACTCGGGGGGGTTGACGGTTGTAGTAAGAAAATCGCCGAACCTATTTACTACGATTGCGATAGTTTTGAAATTGTGGGTGCCGATACGGGTAAGAGTTGGGCGAGATCGGATTTGAGGGTTATGGCCATTCGGGAGGAAATTTATGGGCCGGTTTAATGTCCGCTAAGTTAAAATTTTGTTAATGCGTAGTTATAATCTTAGTTAAAATGTGTTTATGATAATAGCGAAGTTGATATACAGGACAGGGTGAGCCAGGTTCGACACTTTAGTGGTTTCTTGTATCTACCAAGTATAAGATATGTCAGATGTCCCAGGCTTGATTTTTTTAGGAGTTTATTGCATTTCCTCAGTAGATCAACAAAAGTAGGTCAGATCTCCCAGGCTTTATTTTATAGAAGAGTTCTTGTACCTCTTGAGTAGATACATAAGTAATTAAATGTCCCAGGCTTGATTTTTTAGGAGTTTCTTGCTTTTCCTGAGTAGATAAACAAGAAGTAGGTTAGACATCCCAGGCTTTATTTTATAGGAGAGTTCTCGTACCTCTTGAGTAGATATGCAAGAAGTAGTGTGGATGTCCCGGCTTGATTTTTTAGGAGTTTCTTGCATTTCCTCAGTAGATAAACAAAAGTAGGTCAGATGTCCCAGGGTTCCTGTTATAGGAGAGTTTTTGTACCTCTTGAATAGATACACAAGTAGTTAGATGTCCCAGGCTTGATTTTTTAGGGGTTTCTTGCATTTCCTCAGTAGATAAACAAAAGTATGTCAGATGTCCCAGAGTTTATGTTATAGGAGAGTTCTTGTACCTTTTGAGTAGATATGTAAGAAGTAGTTCGGATGTCCCAGGCCTGATTTTTAGGAGTTTCTTGCATTCCTCAGTAGATAAACAAAAGTAGGTCAGATGTCCCAGGCTTTATTTTATAGGACAGTTCTTGTACCTCTTGAATAGATACATAATTAATTATATGTCCCAGGCTTGATTTTTTAGGAGTTTCTTGCATATCCTGAGTAGGTAAACAAGAAGTAGGTCAGATGTCCCAGGCTTTATTTTATAGGAGAGTTCTTGTACCTCTGGAGTAGATACATAAGTTCAGATGTCCCAAGTTTGATTTTTAGGAGTTTCTTGCGTTTCCTAAGTAGATAAACAAAAGTAGGTCAGATGTCCCAGGCTTTATTTTATAGGATAGTTCTTGTACTTCTTGAGTATATACATAAAAAGTAGTTCAGATGTCCCAGGCTTAGTTTTTTAGGAGTTTCTTGCATTTTGTGAGTAGACAAACAAGAAGTAGGTCAGATGTTGCAGGCTTTATTTTACAGATTTCTTGTACCTCTCGAGTAGATACATAAGAAGTAGTTCAGATGTTCCAGACTTGATTTTTGGGAAATATTGAACAGTGCATTTCAATATTTTGTTTCACTAGAGAAATACATATTTTTATAATGTAAAATAACGTTAATTACAAAATATGTCACACCTTAATTGTCGATACTATTCAATTTCTACTGGCACAAAGTATTGCTTTGTACCTACTGGTAGATAGCGATCTATTAATTTGTAGGCCGCTCTCTGTCAGTTTTTATAAGGTGTATGTTTTAAATTTGGGTGAGATAAGTTTTACATTTATCATCAGTGGAAAATGTGTTTCTATCAAAATTTCAATAAAATATGTTTTTAAATTTATTTTGGATCATTTGGTGAATTTTTAAAAAATTTTCATTTCCATTCAGTTTTAAATTTTTTTGCATAAATTGGACAGGAAATTTTCCATAGATTTTAAAAGTTGACAAATTATGGGGTGTCTCTTTTAAAAAAATGTACAAGTCTTGGTTAATAGGAAAAAGGAGTTACAGGAAATCGTTGCAGTTTTTTTGAAAATCGAAATATCTCCTCTACATCTATCTCCTCGAAACACACGAGAAACGCGCTAAAAGTGTAAAAATTGGCACATCCTGTACTTCAAATTTTTTATTATTAGCATTCGTTATGAATTACAAAATACAGAAATAGACTACTCTATATTACATAATAATTACATTTTCAAATTCATTTTTTTTACGTAAATGAAGTGACTAGATATATAGAGCGTTGTTACATTAATTTTGTTTTTACTGGTTTTAAAATTATTAAGTTTTATGTTGAAATACTAAATCGTTATGTTTTTTTTCCCTTCCTTTTAGCACCATATTATGCATGCGTAAGTGAATTTAACAAAATTGTTTAATTATCATATTTTAACATTTCTTTGTGCTTTTTTGTTATGTCGTGTTTTCTGTTATTGAATGCCTCAATTTTCTCGATGTTAACGAAAAAAAAAATAAAGGTAATGCAAGGCCTCCCAATATTTAATGCACATGAAACTACTACAAATTCTTGATTAAATTTCCATTTTTTCTCGTAAATTTGTTGTATTTTCAAAAGTTTTTGCGAAATAAATTTTATTTGTTATAGCTGGTACATTTTTTATACAAAGCTGACGGGCAGGAACAGATTTACTTAAAACCATCTTTATAACAGTTCCATCGCCACGAAACAATTGGGATATCTTGTGAAATAAACGTTAAGTCTCTTCAAGAAAATTGGTAGCCATTCACCTTTTTGTAAATAGTTTGTCTCCTCTTCGCTAGTTTTCACTCGAATAACAGATAAACTGATAATAATGCTAGTTGTGTCTCGTCTCATGCCTCGTCCTGTAAATAAAATGTGCATTACAGCCCGAGGAATCGCTATCAGACGATTTCCTATTCCCAATGTCATCTCTTCGGCTTTCGTATGCTAGTTCTCCAGAGAGCGACCTAGAGCACAGCCCCGGGCCGCCTACTTCTCCGGGACTGTCCGGAAACGGCACGACGGCTGGAAGGCTGACCAAGGCAAGTTCGGATCCCAGCGTGGTTATGCCCGATTGTAGCACAACGGATGTTCTACCGCCTTATCAGGTAAGAGCTATCCTGAAAACTGCTTTTTTTTATTTTAGTGGTATTTTTTGTGATTTATTTTTTTTGCGATATACGTATAGTTTAAATTTTGAATTCAGTGCCAAACTAAATAAAATTTACATAAATATACAGGGTGTCTGTTAAAGAATGGGCAAACTCTACCGCTAGATTCTATGACGAAAATTAATGGAGAAAAGTCATATACAATGCTGCTCATAAATGCTTAATTTTCAAGATTCAGGGTGTTGAAGTTGAAAAAATTAAATTTTCTTAAATATTTTTCAACTACTTCAAGTTAATTTCATGAAATTTCGTATCTGGTGGTTATTTGGGTTGAGAAATTTGAATTTATCGACGATTTCGTTGTATCTTCTAGAGGGCGCCACAAGTGACCATTAGGATGCATTTAAATTGCCAAAACTTTTTTGTGTCACCTTGTTCGAATTTCTCTTCTCACGAACACCCCAAATATGAAATTTCACAAAATTAGCTCAAGTAGGTGAAATATATTAAAAAAAATGTTATTTTTTGTCAACTTCAACACCCTGTATTGTTGAAAACTGAGCGTTTATGAGCAACATTGTATATGACTTTTCCTCATTAATTTTTGTCTTAGAATCTAGTGGTAAAGTGGCCCATTCTTTAACGGAGACCCTGTAAAAGTGCACATCATATATGAAGATTTTTGTATCAGTTTTTAAATAGTGAGAATTGATGAGCGGTCACATATTTTTTTATTTGTCGTCAAATTCGACATTGTTTTAAAATAATTCGGATAATGCATAATTTCTCAAAATTTGTATTCAATTGAAAGGGAAAAATGTCTTTATTTTTCAATTTTAATGACAATAATAATGAAAATAATAAAACAATAGTTAACTGGTTAGGTAATGTAAGATGGTAAAAACAAATAGTAGTATTTGTAAAAAAAATTGTAAAAATAAATAATTCCGTATAAGTTTGCTTATATTCCGTTGAGAGAAAATTCTATAAGAGTGCAGAGATTTGTGTTTTTGAAATTTTTGAGAAATAACTAATTTCAGCATTTAAGAAAAAGTCAAATTTGGCAGATATAGAAAAAAACATTTTTTAAACAAAAACGCTTAGTACAATTAATCTTGTCTTTCAAAATGAATGCATCAAAAATGTACATTGCGATGGTAGCACTGTATATGTACCACGTCCTTCCTTTTAGCCCAATTACGATTCACGGTACGGCTTCGGCAACAACCAACAGCAACAACAGCCGCCACCAGAACTCCAGACACCCCCCACGGACTCACCGTTAACGAAAGACCCCTCCTACACCCTTTCCAACCCGGACATCCCGTCGTCCCTCGAAGCACAAAACCCATATACGAAAAACGCTAATTACAACGACAAGAACCCTATTTACTCCTCCGAAACCTACCAAAAACCGGAATATCCCAAGATGACGGACGCCAGAAACGAATTCGGATCGAGAAACGATTTCAATTCTCCGGAACGGAGGACGGATTTCAGCGGGGAGAGAAACATGCAGCATAAACGGCAAGCTAGTACCTTACATGGGGTGTACGGTCATAGTAAAGGGCATAACATGGAGCAGAGTCCGTCGAAAGACGCTGTGTACGGACAGGTGCCCGATCTACCGCCTCGGGTCGACAGAGCCATCAAGCCCATGGGGTTGCTGATGACGCCCAGCAAAATACCGAACGGGTGAGACAAGAATTAACTTATCGAGAATAGTACAAATTTTAAAATTTCGTCGTTCTTTTAACAGGCGTTCTGCCCACGAGAGGCTTTTTGGTACGAAAGCAAATCCGCAAGTTGAAGGCGCTGACACAAATCCACCGGATAATAACAACTTTAATAATAACAACAAGGCAGGTTCGCTTGAGCGAAGCCAAAATTCCAAATCGGTAAGTCTTAAATTCTTCTAATAACAAACACGGTCAATAATTTTGGAAATTGTAATATTCCGTTCATTTCACATTGTGTTCCGTTTGCTACAAATGCCTATTTCTATCTTTGCGTTGACTTGAAACCCCTCTATCTGTCAATTTCTAGCCAAGGTGTGTTAATGCTCATCATAAGCGTAAAAGTAGGAAAATTACTTTCACGTTTTAGTTGCACGAAGTGTTGTTAAAAATGAAATTGTGTACGGGTGTTAGTGGCGAATTTTATAATAAAGGTAAATGACCTAATATAACAGATCAAGAACATTGTATAATAAACAATGCGTGTAAGGGGATTTGAGCGTGAAACGCGGGTATGTCGGTGAGTGATGTTATGGAAATGTGTAGTTCTTTAATAAAAGTGTCAGTCAAAAATATATATTGTGTGTTAAAAAATGGTGGAAGTGTCAAAAAACAAAACACGTTTCAGGAAAAAAATTGAAATAAACAATCACATTAAATATGCAGATAGAATGCAGACTCGTGTATTTTATTTTAAAAATGAACGTCCAACATTAAAGAAAATTGGAAAATTGTTAAGATTTGTCTAAATAGTCCCGAAAAGATTTACTGTGTACCTACTATGCATGAAATGAATTTTCATTACTTAAAACGAAATGGAAAAAATTTGCTAATAGAAATAGAAAAGAAAATTACTATCTTGACGAAACATGGACATACAGTTTCCAAGGTTTGGCAAAATATAAATATCAACAGCAGACGAGAAACAGTTTTAGAAGGTTTCCTATGGGATGAAAGTCGCCCTTTGAGACAGGAAAGCGACTTATAATTACACATATCTGAAGTGAATGGTGATTTGTGGAAGATAATGGTTTATATACTTTTGGATTTTGACTAACAGGAGACTGCCACGATGATATACAGGGTGTATCTAAATAACACCGAAAAAATTCAAGGGGCGATTCTCCGATGAAAATTAATAGGGGTCTTTGGTATAAAATTTTTTGAAAAAACCCTCCCCTGAAAAGTTACGCCCCTCCTAAAATTACAAAAAAAAAATTGTTTTTCTTTTTTATCTTCCACTACATCAAGC